CAAGTGTGTAAAAGTGTGCAGTGAACTGAGTACATAACACTGTCGTGAACTGTGTACAAGTGTGTAAAAGTGTGCAGTGAACTGAGTACATAACACTGTCGTGAACTGTGTACAAGTGTGTAAAAGTGTGCAGTGAACTGAGTACATAACACTGTCGTGGTGTACTCACCCATAATCTCCTCGCTCTCCTTCTGTGACAGCGGCGGCAAGATGGGGAAGAGCGTGGCGGGCGACACCTGGTGGGCCACGTTTGGCTGTTGCCAGAAGGACTGGGGCAGGGCGCGGAGCTTCATGGGAAGGGGTTCTGTGCAGGAGAGAGAAAATACTATTAGACTTTGAGGTCCCGTCATCATCATCATCATCATCATCATCATCATCATCATCATCATCATCATCATCATCATCATCATCATCATCATAACCATCATAAACACTATCATCATCCTCATCATCCTCATGATCATCATCATCATAGCAACATCCCCTTTTTCCTGTTTTGTTTTTCTTGAAGCATAACAATTATTTGTACCGTCTTGGCACATTTTTACGAAACTTCTAAACATCGGCACCAAAATATCGGGACACAAAACAAAACAAAACAAAAGTAGTAGTGGAGGCCTTTCCATCATTGTCTCTATTTTTTTGTTCCTCTTGTTAGTGTCTTTTATCAGCACTTATTATAATGACCTAATTTGAATTGCAATTAAATGCCGTAAAACTCATACTAAAACTAAAACTTAAAGTCAGTGTCTTTTATTGCTTTCTATTGTTAGTGTCTTTAACTACCTTTTTTTCTTCTTCTAAAACAGAGCTAACGCTTTTGGTTTACTAGTACATGTACATTGCACAACAAAATAATGGTCTTTGTATGAGTGTGACACCCCTTATAAAGCTGCATGGTTAAATTTTAATAAAAGGGAAGGACTTTAGAATTTACGATCCATCTCCGTTAAGATCGAGACAGAATGAAATAGCTATGTTGCTACCTTTGAATTACAAGGTCTTATCTTACATTTTTGGGGGTTTTGAGTGAAACTCATGAAACTTAAATGTTTTAAAGTCAAATTTCTCCAAACTAGGAACTGTCAAAGAGATAGAACTTTGTAATTCTAAGGTATCAATGTGGTGAATCAAAATTTAAGCTTCCTAGAACGGCATGTTGGGGAATTCAACAAAAGGAGGTCTCGTGTGCAATTTGCGCACGATAAAGACACCTTTGTGATCTAAAACCGATAAGAGTAGTTAGTAGGCTTCGGCCACCACATGGGCAAAATTCAAAATTCCCTACCAACGAG